AAAAAATAACAATAAACAAATATTTTTTATCAACAAACTTTTTAAACGAAAAACTGCACAATATTGTAAATATGTGATAAGATATAACAAAATGTTACAACGACTGAAGATAAGAAATGTTTTCAATAATTTTGTAAGTTAAAACATTTGTATTCATTTTCGGACAAAAAACGGATATTTAATAAAAATTATTTGATACTTGGAAAATTTTTTACACGTGTTTAAATACTGTTGTTACATGTGTAGCAATGTATTAGAAAAATGATCGCTTCACCATAAATAGAAACATTTGCTGGGACACCTAACTTCAGGTGTCACGATGTAAGATGGTTTCGTCTGGGGGTTGGTAGCACATTTAACCTAAAGCTGATATAACTTCTGAAGATGTTGGAAATCTTACAAAGAAAGCATTTAAATACAAATTTCCATATTCTTATTGCTGCAAGGTGCTTTATATTAAAAATGTTCCTGTAACTAAAAAACATACAAATCAGTTCAATGTCACGTGACCACCAAATTATAATCAGGTATGTTCACGTGTTACAATAATTTAATAAATTTATCGAGCACAAATAAATTTCTCATAATTTAAAAAATTGTCGCCTTTACCTATTTTCGGGGTGACATTTACATGTTAAAAGTCATAGTCTAAAGTTTAGTATCCATAAAATATGCATACATTTCTCTTAGAACACTCATTGCAAATTACATGAATTAATTAGTACATAGATGCGATCGCTTCGATAAATAACAAAAGTGCATCTCGGGAAGGTAAATAAGAGAATCTTCTTTATCGAAGAGAAAAATAACAATTAAACTAAACGAGTTATATCTCATTAGTAACATTTAGACGTCATAGCGCCTTGAACCGCATCACGGGAAAATCATGACGTACCTTACTGGAGAGAATAACTACGCGAGCGATACTATCGATATATTGAGTTGGCCAATGACAATCTAATACAGCGATCAGAATCGAGAAATTACGTTCCGAAAAATAATCGAATATTCAGGAAGTGTAACGATCGTGTTATGTTACGTTACGATTATAGACGGCTATGTTCACGCAGACGCTGACCCTTACACCACGTTTCATTCGAGGTACGTTTATCGTATAGGCGTAAACGAGGCACATAGCAATAGCGTTGCTGTATAAAGAGAAGATACGCATAAAAATAATAGACAATATGGAAAAAGATAAGGTAACGTACTTACATTTATTAGTTAATCAAAATTTTCCGAACCTTCATACCGTATACGATAAATCGTACAGCGTAATCTCATCTTCTAATTATATTCTGTTTATATTCTTTCTTCTATGCAAAACGGAAATCAAATTTTGGCAAGAATTTGATGTAAAATAATTAATCGGACGAAATTCTTTCCACTTTCATCGTTATTTAAACATTTATAATGTGATAATGTCAGAAATAATTTGTTAGCCCTTCATGGATATATGTATTATAAATTCACGAAATATTCTCAAATATGGGAATTTGCAAATTTTCTTTAAACTCAAATTGCTCAAAAGCTACTGTTATCAAAAGTTATGTTCAGATGTATTATTAGCACTCAAAAATTTATACGAATCGTTCACTGAAGTTTATAAAACCAAAAGCATTAACTATTTATCGAACAGTTTTGTAGGTGTGTCACTTTGGGTGTGAGGTAAATTTCGAATGATTAATTATGTCATTTCAAATATTTGCCAAAATCTGATTTCTTTTTGCATACAAGTAAGAAGTAACATGAATAGATGACGCGTAAATTAAGGACGCTAAACAACTAAACATCATTAACATAATGTTTGATTAGTCAAATCCCAATTAGCAATATCGGAATATTATAATTACAGACTAAAGTTATTTTACGATATTGTACTTGTATCATATTCGATTAGTCTATTAGAGTAGAGAAATAGATTAAATTATTCTACCGATTTGCTCGAATAGAGCGACGCAAATTGTTCTTATATTATAGATACTTAAATATGTTTAAATAATCAAAGTGAACAGTATACCCAAAATATCTCGATTTCTGCTAAAGTCTTTCTATTTACTTTATAAATTAATAACCGTGACTGTGAAGAACTGCAATACAGGACGTTAAATTGTGTTTTTAAACCCAATACTTGGCTGTAATATCCGTCAGCGAAATCGTGAAACGTACACGTTAGGCAAAATCACCGTCTGCAATGATAACTACTGCTGCCGTAGTGTGTATTTTGATTCTTGATTCGAAACGAAACACGCAATAACGGCGATATTTCTCAGCATCAGCGATCAATAGAATATCGTACAATTTATAGTTCTGTGTCTCGCCTGTTACACAGAATTGTTACTTTTGTATATTGATAACAAAACATTATTTCGAAACTTCCTCCGATGTTTTCCTTCGTACAGCTATTTTCTCTACTGCGCGGTTTGGCTACATTTTATTCTGATCTCCTCGTTTATAAAATGATGTTATTCGTTAAAAAAGAAGTATAGAAAAATGTTAACAAATATCGACACGTATTAGATACCCTTTTTGATCTTGATCATAATTTAAACGGTTATAAATATTTATAATGTAATAAGAATTTGTATCATCATCCAAGATAGTCCGTAGGCTCATTTGGTATCAAAAGTAATTGACTAGTTCTTTGCGAATTAATTGTAAATTTGCAGAAAATTCTCAAATTAGAAAATTGCGATTTTTGTTTAAATTCTATTTTTTAAAAACCTACTATCAGAAATAAGTTCACAAATTTATAGTCAAAAATCGATAAGAATCACTCATTTAAGGGGGGCAATACCTTTAGACCGATAAAAATAAGCTGATTTTTGTGAATTTTTTTGTATAGGATATCTTTATTTTACGTTTTTGAAGTTTCAGGTATAATTTATTATAACTATTGCCTATTACACAATATTTTTTGTTTTTAAATACATTTAAAAATGGCGGAATTATAACAGTCCTTGCTGGAAGTGTTTGGGCGCGTCTTGTGAATCCGTGTGGATTCTAGCTTTAAATCCATTGGTCTGAGACAAGTTTGCAGACAATGTTTCGAAAACTAACATTCACAATTAGTAGATGAACCTCAGAAATGTGCAAAATGTGTAAAATTAAAGAAATGGCGCGCTTTTAAAGAAAAACTTTGAATTTTACTAAAAATTTTTGCTATATTTTGCAATAAAAAAGGACTTTAATGTTCAATTTATTTCATAAATTTAGGTTCATGTGTTAGATACTATTGTCATGAATATGTGCAAAAAATTTGAGCGCGATTGACAAACTGGTTTTTGAGTTATCAGCCTCACAAATTGTAAAAATGTAGTTTTGAGAAAAACGCGTTTAAAGTTTCAGTCCTCCGCATTGAACGCGTGAATACTCGCGGCGCTAATCGGCCATAACTTCAAAAGGGCTTCGTATTTCACTTTAAAATTTTGAGATGTTACACTAACATTTTATAGAAAAAAAATTTTTTAATTTTTCAAGATTCTAAAGGTAATTGCCCTCGTTAAGGTTATAAAATAAAAAGCACTAGCAATTTATCGAAGAGTTTTGTAGGTGTACGGCTTTGGGTGCGAGCTAAATATTTGCAAAAATTTGATTTCTTTTTGCGTACAAGTAAGAAGTAACATAAATAGAAATTTATTATCGATTTCGAGATCTTTTTTATTCAAAATTAGAAGAGTAACTAAGTTGTACGATTTGTGTCTAACACTTCTTTCTCCTAGCAACGCGTAAATTTAATTAATAACTTTAAACATTATTAACATAACGTTACGGATATTTCAATTCTGACGATTAATACAACAAAATTATAATTAAATATTAAAATTAACTCATACGATATTAAATTACCACTATTCCTACCGTAGCCAGTCAAATGACCGTTTTCAAAATTTCAATTGAAATTTCCCGTGTAGAACGTAATTGAAACGGCTTTAAACTTCATTACTTTTTCTTTAATATGCATATCGTACTTTTTTCTATATTTACTTCTGTTTTTATTGTTTATCTTGGGAACTAGTAGGCCTAGACAAAAAATTCAAAATGCTAATTTTTCTGCTTTAGAAGGCCAATAATGGGATGATGTGCCTTGTCAGAATTATTTCGCATTAGATGCTAAAAATCAAGTTCCGAAATGAACATTGGAGAAACAAATCTGCATGCAGTCGAAATTCGTTACTGCAAGCATTGTACATATTTCTTAATCTCTGTACAGACATTTTTATTCTATACTAATATTCTTTTCCTGTAGAATGCGATACCATCAACTTCGTCTCCGGAGTCACGTTTTCAACCTACAATCGAAACATACGTCAGAATCAAACCGTTAAAAATGCTGAGTTCAATCCATATCTTAATGGATTCAATAGTTAATCTCATTGAAGAAAGTCAAAAAACAAATAAGACAAATCTACTTCCAAAAATTTTGAAGCTAAATTCATCGCAATCAGATGTGTTCGACAACGTTGTACGTAAACGAATCATTAATTTTGTCAAAGGTGAAAATTCAACAGTCATTGTCTATGGAATGCCCCAGTCAGGAAAAACATATACATTCATCGGAAATCAAGATAATCCTGGAATAGTCCCACACGCGATAAAGTTATTGTTCTCCATGGTGAAGTGTGATACTAATCCGAGGTATAAAGTAAACATGAAAAACGAAATTGATCCTTTGGACTCATTAGATCACTACAGCCTACGTAGGAGACACGCATATATTAATTATGAAAATATAGGAATTGATACGTGCGTAGAAGCGCAATTGTACTTTGATCACTTAGATGCTTCTGTTCTCATGTCAGAGGACAGGTTCTGGGATTCTGAGAAGGATCTGTTTTCGGTGTGGATATCGCTGGTGAAGGTGTGTCCTAGTGGGTATATTGATACTTTTGATACTGATAATATCTACTACGATAGATATTCCGGGAATACATTGAGAGTTACAACATATGAGTCCGCAGAATTTCGAAATGTCACAACGGCATTAGACGCTTGCCAACTACTGATTAGCGCCCTAAATAGAAATAATTACAACCGCGTAGTTCATGGAATTATCTTGACAATCAAACTTCTCAAATATCCACCTAACTATACACCTAAATGCCAAGAAAGTGCCCCGGTGCACTGCAGTACTATGACTTTCTACGATTTTAATTCTGAATCCCAGTTTGTTACGCAAGATGCTATGTTAGCGAACGAGTACAATTTCAGCGAAATTTTTAATGCGAATATGAAGTATATTAAAGCTTTTACTGAATCGAATAGCGGAAGCATATATAATATCTTCTCGAGTTACACCAAGTTCCTCCGTCAAGAACTGTTAAGTCGACAGTCACTCAGTTTTATCGCGACCATTAACATTGATGCGCTATCTAATATGCTCATCTTGCACGATTTGGCAATTTTAAAATCGTGGTATCTTAATTCTGAAGAGCGGCAAAGAAATGACACATTGGAAGCAGCACAGCCTGAAACATCCAAGGATGACGAAAAACGTACAGCAGAATGTATTCACGATCTTGTTGAATCGTGGAAATCCAGAAATCCATAAATTTGTCAGAAAGTATTTTTAAAATTATTACCTACAATAAGTAAACCTATATTATCTCCTGTTTGTACTATTACATTTAACACTTGAATAAATTTTGTCGCATTGATAATGTCTTTTCTTTTATTACTCGAACAAGTTATGTGTTCAAATTTGACTCAATTCAGTTTGCGGATAACAGATTTTTAAAAATAATAAGACTTTTTAAAGAGATACTGATACCATTCTACTATAATAGTAAAATAACTCTGAAATGTTAGCACGGAGTCAGTATTTTTTGACAATCTTTGTCGATTATTTTTGATCTGATTTTGCACTGAAGGAAGGCTTAAATTTTCTCTGGCATAAAATATTAACCATATCTGTGGTCTCCTTGAATTTTTGAAGGAGCTGCTGCATTTTATTAACTAGGAAAAATAGTAGAATTTGATATTTCATTTTACCTTACCACGCCCTTTATGTTAAACGAAACATAAAGGGAATGGAATATTTTGAATAAAAAGTTGGATGATTCACAATTGTCTCTTGTGTTCAACATTTTCCCCAGTGCCCACAAACAAAAAATATGCATTTTCTATTTAAAAAATGAAAGCAACCGTTCGTTGATGCAGATTTTACAATGCTATGTTTAAAATTCAGGTTGGTATAAATTGAAAGAAAAAAAAGTAATGTCCCAAACGAGTTCAGATCCACCAACCTATTGTATACCATTCTTTAACGTCACACCCTTAGCCACTATGCTGCTTGATCTCAGTCGTTAACGCGATCTCCTAATGACAAAATAATACAATTTTCCGATGCACTTTTCTCGGAAAATTTTGAGAAGCGTGCGCTACTGCTTTGCCTGATTAAGATAGGTATGTGATCTTTAAACAATCCAAGTTTCAGGGAAATCCGTTTCCCGTTGTCCCTGATGTCCCCTTGTAAGATACGATATTTTTTAGCATTGTTATGCTTGATCTCTGTTATACTTGTTGCGATACGGTATCTTTCGAGGAATGTGCAGTGAATATGGTTCCGGGACGGGTTGCATTATCTTTCATTGCAGTTACACACACCCACGTTTACGTTTAGTCACATGTGAATCATAACCGTTACGTAGACAAAGCTCAGCTCTTGATAGAACACTTTGCAATCTTCAAGCTGCTACGAAACGGTACAGTTGCTGAATAAAGAGAAGATACGTGTAAAAATAATAGACAATATGGAAAAAGATAAGGTAACGTACTTACATTTATTAGTTAATCAAAATTTTCCGAACCTTCATACCGTATACGATAAATCGTACAGCGTAATCTCATCTTCTAATTATATTCCGTTTATATTCTGCCTTCTATGCAAAATGGAAATAAAATTTTGGCAAGAATTTGATGGGAAATAACTAATCGGACGAAATTCTTTCCACTTTCATCGTTATTTAAACATTTGTAATGTGATAATGTCAGAAATAATTTATTAGGCCTTTATGGATATATGTATTATAAATTCACAAAATATTCTCAAATATGGGAATTTGCAAATTTTCTTTAAACTCAAATTGCTCAAAAGCTACTGTTACCAAAAGTTATTTACAGATGCATAATCAGCACTCAAAAATCTATAAGAATCGCTCATTGAAGTTTATAAAACCAAAGGCATTAACTATTTATCGAACAGTCTTGTAGGTGTGCGACTTTGGGTGTGAGGTAAATTTCGAATGACTAATTATACTATTTCAAATATTTGCCAAAATCTGATTTCTTTTTGCATACAAGCAAGAAGTAACAAACAGAATACGCGTAAATTAAGGACACTAAACAACTAAACATCATTAGCATAATGTTCGATTAGTCAAATCCTAATTAGCAATATCGGAATATTATAAGTACAGACTAAAGCTATTTTACGATGTTGTACTTGTACCATATTCAATTAGTCGCGTTTCAATTAAAAATTACTATTTCATTTTTAATCAGAAGTTTCGATTCGTGATTGTGCAACTTTGAAGTTATTAATCAAATAATTTCAGATAAGAAGTTAATAAGCTACATTAATTTTTAAACTTAGAAAATTTGTTTCCGTTTGGTCGCATTTTTTCAGAAATATTGTGCCTTCGGAAGTGAAAACATGGAGTCGATATGAACACTGAAATTTTTCAAGAAACAATCGAAAACACGTTGCGCGAGGAAGTATTTGTTTCCTAATCTCTATAAAGACGTTATTATTTCGTACATAACACAGTATTATTTTTCCGCAGAGTGCGAGACCATCAACCTCGTCTTCGAAGACAAAAAAATGTGAGGTAGTTCAATTTCAACCTAAAGTCGAGACATACCTTAGAACAAGGGCTTCAGAAATGGCTAGTTCTATCCATTATTTTATCGACACCGTTATCGATCTCATTGAAAGAGGCCAGGAAACAAGTAATATAAAGTTGTTCAATAAAATTTTCAAGCCAGATTCATCTCAATCGGATGTGTTCGATAACACTGTACGTAAACAAATCATTAACTTGGTCAACGGTGAAAGTTCCACAGTCATTGTAGCTGGATTGCCTAATTCAGGGAAAACGTATACATTTATGGGAAATAAGGATAATCCTGGAATCCTCCCGAATGCGATAAAACTATTATTTGACTTAGTAAAAGAAGAAAGAGAACCAAAGTACAAAGTGACTGCGGATAATAAAATAACTGCACTAACAAAAAAAACTAAAGAGACAGAAAGAGAAAAACGATTAAATCTGTGTAGAATATTCGGATTTTTTGAAACACAAATATATCTGAATAATTCAGGTTCTGGGGTTCCGCCTTCCAACAACGGAGTCGACAATGATCACAAGGACCTGTTCTCCGTGTGGCTTTCAGCGGTTGCGTATGACGGTCAACAGTATACGGATCTTCTAACTGATAAACCGTGTACTATTAAAACAAACATGAAAGATGCACTATATTTTAACTCGGACTTTATACATGTGCCCACGGCATTAGAGGCATGCCAAATACTGATTGATGCTAAGTCGAAATCTGAAGAATTGAGAACTCAAAACTTTAAACCTGAAATCTTCTTTACGTTCAAACTGATCAAATATCAACTAAAAACATCTAAATCTGAACGAAAACCTATTGAACAAAAATACTGCGGCACAATAACTTTCTACTGTACTAGTGTCAATATGTTCAATATGTTCAATATGAAAGAAATGATAACGAGCGCGAAGAATTTCAAAGACAATTTCAACCATGGTATGAATTCTATCAGAACTTACGTCAGTGTCAATTCGAGTCCGATATACTCGCATGACCACATAAAGATGATTCTTCGCGAAGCACTATTAGGACGACAATTAGTCACTTTCATAGGGACCATTGACGTTACACCATTATCCATTATACATTTTTTGCACGATTTGCCGATTTTAAAACCATCATCTTAACCGTAGCGTAGTATCAAACCGCTGTCTACTTGCTGTAACAGATTTAATATGAATAAATTTTGTCAAATTAATATTGGTAATTTTATATTACTCCCATAATTTTATTGGAAATTAAAATCAAGCAAAGATATGTACGCACGTTGATCACACTTAAATGGCTAAGTAAATGTCTAAATTATGTCACGTTTCGTGTCACTTTAATTAGGTAAACCTCATGAATAGGACAGAGAAATTCTCAGTTAAAAAAGAATCGAGTAAAAGATATTTGATATCTGAATTCTTCGGTCGGAATGCCTTATCGAAAGAACCACTATACTTCGTGAAATCTGACTTGTGACGCACTCATAGTTCAAATGTGATAAATGTTATTCGAATTTTTAATACGTTTCAATTTGAAGCTTGATCACCGTAATAATTTGCAAAGTCAGGGATCGCCAAATGCAAAATTGACGTAACATTTTAATTTTCTTTATTCGTTCTAATGAATATTTAGTTCTGATTGACGCACTTGATGAACGAATCGTACGGTTAGAAGTCTTCGACGAAGAAAACATACCAATAACGATTACATAAGTGTAGACACATCGGCAGGTACAATATTAACCCGTTGCCGCACATGACGGCTATAGCCGTCCGATCTTTGGTGATATGTAGGCAAACGACGGCTATAGCCGTCGTGCACATTTTAATTAATAAAAAAAGAACAGCGTTAGTACGAAGTGTACTTAATGCACACACTTGTTAATTATTGAGTAATACATTGAAAAAAAAGGTACAGCATGCCAGACAGCATATCAATTGTTTTTTTATGCGTTTTCTCATACTTTAATTTTTATTTCATTTTTACTATTTTATAAGCAACATAAATTACAAATGATAATTTTGTTTCAAACTGATTTTCTTGTGTTAGATTACACCTATTTACTCTCTTTTATTCATAGGAATCATTTTGAATTAGTAAAGCACATGCCGTATAGTCGTCACGATGGTCATAGCCGTCATTTGCTCTGGGAAGAGAAAAAATGACATGATGAGCAAATGACGGTTATAGCCGTCGAGAGTTTTTTTGGAAAAACTGTGGCCAAATGTGATAATTTTCACTTGCAAACATACAACTTACACTTGATTCCATCTGGCAGTCATAAATAATTGAAAAAAAAAGTGCGTTTCTGAGCGCGATCGTCAAATGAAAAGTGTGCGGCAACGGGTTAAGAGACTGTCAGATTAGATAATGTGGGAGACTGTATCAGGAGTATTGTCGCTAAATGTCCGACTTACGGGAGCGCAATCTAGGAGATAGCGGATTAACCGGGTTACCGGTGTCGTTACGGCCATCTAGCATCGGGTTAACCGGAATATTATAGGATTCTATTCGGGTTGGGGTTAGAATGGCCGGTTTTGACAACGTTAATCCAGCACGCATTCTATTTCGCTCGAACGGGCACAGGGCACAAAGGTTCGGTGCGAACGTAAGCCGCTCGCCTCGAATACAAATGAAATACGAAGGGGCGAATGCAATCTCGAATGGTCCCAGACCACGAGCAGACTCTCCAAAGGCATCCAAAGGATGAAACGAGGAAATACAATTTCTGGCACGTCGATAAATCCAAGTCGTCCGCGTGCATTGTGGCGAAGGTGGTTGTACAGAGAGGAGCCGTTGATCCAGGAAGAACGATAACGTCCACCGAATTACACCGTGCCGTGCGGAGGTTACGTTCGCCGGACAAAGACGAGCCGGCTCTGACGGATATTCTCGATTTGTCCGTTTATCTAATCGTTCGCAGATATGCCCCGTTATGCTTTGCCAGCTTGGCAAACGAGCAACACCCGTTTAAAATTCGAACGGTTCAGCGTAATAACGAACGAGCGCGGATGCATACTTGGCAAACGGCCATACAGAGAAATATGAACCGGCCGTTGCCAGGGACAATGCCCGATTTCCTTTCAACCGACTCCTTTTTGCCTATTCGTTAGCCGGTTAGACGGTAATGAACTTTTGTTTTATCGATGCGTTTAATTTATATAATAGCAAAATTGTTGATCAACGAGAATAAATTGATATTACAGGCAGACAGTTCCTTTAGGTTAAACTTCTTTCGATGAATATAGGAGAAAAATAGTGATTCGCGTGTTAGGGCGGATTTTTTATTGCGTGTTATTTAATTTGTTGATTTTGGGAAATAGTACATTATTAACTTCGACTGAGCACAAGAATGGGAACGTACACTAGAAACTGGAAGTACTTTATGTTTGTTGAATAAACACGGGGTTAAGCGAAATTTTCAAATTTCTAATTTTTTGAATATAACAAAAATTCTTAAATTTTCAATTACTTAAGTTTCGAAATGAAAGTATTTAATTAAATATGAAATATAATATATAATATACACTACCGTCCATAAGTATCCGGACACTTGGTTTCGTTACATAAAACATAGTTGAACTTTGTACGAAAGGTGTTTAGGGTTATCATATCATTTGTAATAATTATTATTATCTTTTTTGAGGTGTCATAACGTAATAGAATTAATTTTTAAGTACAAATTATACAATGAAAGTGTGAAAGTAAAATTCATGTCCAGAAGTACAAAGTCCAGATTTGTGAATCTAATGAAACGCTTTCGATTCTAAAAAAAATTTTAATTTCTACTGTGTTTCATTTCTATGGTGCAGAACGTATTCAGTGGGTTCTTCGATATGTTTCAAGTGTTTGTAAACTGTTGGTAGATGTTTAGGTTCCCTCAATGGAGATAAGAATGGAGGTCTAAATGTCCGACTTACGGGAGCGCAATCTAGGAGATAGCGGATTAACCGGGTTACCGGTGTCGTTACGGCCATCTAGCATCGGGTTAACCGGAATATTATAGGATTCTATTCGGGTTGGGGTTAGAATGGCCGGTTTTGACAACGTTAATCCAGCACGCATTCTATTTCGCTCGAACGGGCACAGGGCACAAAGGTTCGGTGCGAACGTAAGCCGCTCGCCTCGAATACAAATGAAATACGAAGGGGCGAATGCAATCTCGAATGGTCCCAGACCACGAGCAGACTCTCCAAAGGCATCCAAAGGATGAAACGAGGAAATACAATTTCTGGCACGTCGATAAATCCAAGTCGTCCGCGTGCATTGTGGCGAAGGTGGTTGTACAGAGAGGAGCCGTTGATCCAGGAAGAACGATAACGTCCACCGAATTACACCGTGCCGTGCGGAGGTTACGTTCGCCGGACAAAGACGAGCCGGCTCTGACGGATATTCTCGATTTGTCCGTTTATCTAATCGTTCGCAGATATGCCCCGTTATGCTTTGCCAGCTTGGCAAACGAGCAACACCCGTTTAAAATTCGAACGGTTCAGCGTAATAACGAACGAGCGCGGATGCATACTTGGCAAACGGCCATACAGAGAAATATGAACCGGCCGTTGCCAGGGACAATGCCCGATTTCCTTTCAACCGACTCCTTTTTGCCTATTCGTTAGCCGGTTAGACGGTAATGAACTTTTGTTTTATCGATGCGTTTAATTTATATAATAGCAAAATTGTTGATCAACGAGAATAAATTGATATTACAGGCAGACAGTTCCTTTAGGTTAAACTTCTTTCGATGAATATAGGAGAAAAATAGTGATTCGCGTGTTAGGGCGGATTTTTTATTGCGTGTTATTTAATTTGTTGATTTTGGGAAATAGTACATTATTAACTTCGACTGAGCACAAGAATGGGAACGTACACTAGAAACTGGAAGTACTTTATGTTTGTTGAATAAACACGGGGTTAAGCGAAATTTTCAAATTTCTAATTTTTTGAATATAACAAAAATTCTTAAATTTTCAATTACTTAAGTTTCGAAATGAAAGTATTTAATTAAATATGAAATATAATATATAATATACACTACCGTCCATAAGTATCCGGACACTTGGTTTCGTTACATAAAACATAGTTGAACTTTGTACGAAAGGTGTTTAGGGTTATCATATCATTTGTAATAATTATTATTATCTTTTTTGAGGTGTCATAACGTAATAGAATTAATTTTTAAGTACAAATTATACAATGAAAGTGTGAAAGTAAAATTCATGTCCAGAAGTACAAAGTCCAGATTTGTGAATCTAATGAAACGCTTTCGATTCTAAAAAAAATTTTAATTTCTACTGTGTTTCATTTCTATGGTGCAGAACGTATTCAGTGGGTTCTTCGATATGTTTCAAGTGTTTGTAAACTGTTGGTAGATGTTTAGGTTCCCTCAATGGAGATAAAAATGGAGGTTAACGCTACGCACTCGACAATTTCGGTTTAGTTCGTCTGTAGCTTCTTTTCCATCGAGATATGAGTTCCAAACGAGAATTATCAATCGAAAAACGTTATAGTATTCTGACTTTCGCAGAAAAAAAAAATCGATTTTAGTTACTGTTGCAGATACTTGAATAACTTTCATGCAACGCGAATGCATATTTCGCTTGTGTCCGGATTGTTATGGTTGGTAGTGTATGTATTATATTTTATTTAATTATTTGGAAGTGAACATACCCTGATTATTAAAAAGCAGATCTATTATCCGGTTAAACAATACCCGAACAAAATCGTCTGTTTCAATAAAAGTGAATTTAATTTTATCAAAAACAGTTTAAAACGGAAGTACCTATACAGAAATATTTGCTGTATATTTTCGATTTACCTATATCTCCATATCGATTCACCATATTTCACGTTATGTATACCATTTTATTTGAGCCATTCTGTAAACGTCTGTTGCACGTGGTATAAAATAAGCCGAGGACAATCGGCAGATTAAAATGCCGTAATCCGTTTTTTGAACTCGTAACCTACGAATATTCATGGCGGATATTAAACATTTGGATCAAGGATCGAATACCGTCAGCTTTACGGATCGATTTTCCGCTATTAAGACGTTGTTGAGGCCGGATATTAAAGCGGATAAGCGATGGCTTTAGATTTTTATCATAGCAAGCTCGATTTATTACCCGAAAAGTTCTTCTAAAGCCTGTGTTTATAGATTTCGTGTAA